GGTAGCTGGAGACCCGTGCCAGCCCTCCTGTATGCAGATTAAAGTGTGTCAGGGGGTTCACCTCTGAGACAGAAGCTGAGACTGAAGAAGTCACTTGGATGAGTGAAGAAACGTTTCTCCCACTTAAAACACTACGTCCAGATAACCAGAATCAGCTTTTTGGGAGTATCGTTTTATTGTTACACTATAGCTCTGGCAGGACAATTTTTATTTTGGTTTAATCAGATATTAAGCAGTAACCTTTATACACAGCTGTGGGTTTTCAGTTTTTTTCCACTTCTTACCACCTCTGCTGAAAAACTTTTGACCTGAAAGAGCTGGTGGGTGTTTCTGTGAACATGGGAGGCAGACGACCACAACGCTGCCATCTTCTTCTAATGCAGACTGAGACGCTTCACCACAGAGCACAACGCATGTTGTTCTCACAACATGAACACTTCTGTTAGCCAAACCAGGACACACTGTGGTAAGAGGTCTCAACACCCTCAGTCTACAGTTAACTGGTATCAACAACAGGAAGTTGCTTTGGGGGTTTCACGTGCAGAAAGAAGTCAAAAAAAATTCATTGTATTAAAGTAGGTTAAGTATGATTATTTTGTTTGCTTAGACATCTAATCCCAACTAATTATTTCTGTTTACAACTTGTTTGCTAAATCCCAATCAACAATGCTGTGAGATTTAACACTCAGTAATGGCAATCGTCAAAAATTACAACACACCTAAAATTTTGTCGAGGTGAGGTGGACCTGAGGCTGAGACTACACAATTAGTTATGGCCTAATGTGGTCCACAGACCTGTAGATCTGCCAAATTTAAACCAGTCTGAGATAATTTACTCCTCATTGAACATCACTGAAGGCTGAACTGATGAACATGATCCTTCATAATCATGACGACATGCTGTAATCAGTTTGATCAGTCGGCATCATTCTGGCATAAGCACTCAATTTGATTTTTTAAAAAGTAGAATCAATCAAAAAAAAAATCCCACATACACACATACAAATTAAAAAAAAAGAATGGAGCACCAATTATTTTACTGTACATGTACAATAACCATCAAGGGCTAATATTCTTCTTCTATTTTATTCTATAATTTCTCAAATTCTGTTGACTTTTTAAAAGCAACCAATTAACTCTAATAACCAATAGAAATCATAGAATTCCCATCTAGGGATAGGTACCGGTATCTTCTGACATTAACAGTAGTAACCAGACCGAAAAGCATTGAACATTTCGGTGCTTTATTTTGGTGCTTTTTTTTTTTCTGAGATGTCATACACTTTGCATTCCAGCCAATCATTTTACCTTTGCAAGCGTAGTAGGCGGGTCCAGGTACGTATGTTCTTTTAGAGCAAAGCTACAGATTAAAAATGCCCAAGGCGAAACCGTCAAAAGTCTGGCTGCAGCCTGCAACAAGTGCTTTAAGGTTATACTGTGCAAAGGAAGTAACCTTAAATCTGATGAAACACCTGGCGACGCATAGGGTTTTTTTAAAGCCGAGAAATGTGCGTATTTGACAGTTTGCTGCAAGACCTCACAACAAGCACATCTACTGCGGGTGTGGTGCCTGTTATCGGACCCGGAGTTAGCAGCATCCCCCAAGAACCCGAAGAGGAGAGTCCTGGCCCCTAGCCCTGCCAGTGTAGCAGAAATGATGACGGATGAGGATGGCAGCAGCAGCCGTTCTTCTCTGGGTAAGTAGCTTAGCCGTATAGCTGCAGAGAAGGCTAATATGATTATCTTTTTGAAAAAAAAATAAAAAAACAGCTAAACACGAGAGGTTTTAGGGCAAAGTTTGTGTTTTCCATTGTTTAAGCACCGGTTCAAACCAAAGGAGGTATGTTGTATCAACAGAAAAGGCTAACTTGGTTATCATTTTGCAGAAAAAAAGAGACTGCTAAAAATAAAAACATAAGCGGTTTTTGGACAAAGTTAATGTTCTCCATTCTTTAAGCACCGGTTCGAGCACCGTTTAAGCACCGGCACTGTTTCAAAAGTACCGGTTTGGCACCGGTATTGGATAACATCTAAACGATACCCATCCCTATTCCCATCAGCCTCATGCTTATTGGGAAATGTCAGCATGCTACTTACATAGTAAATATAACCAATAGACCTACTAACCCAGATGTTAGTACACTGAAGAGAATGTAGGAATTGTGAAAGGCGATGAAAATGACAAGCTGCACATCTCTCTGGAATCTCTGGAGAGTTTATCAGATGGTACTAAAGACTGATAACGGTTTTTTGTTTCGTTTTGGGTTTTTTTGTGGTTTTTTTGGAGTGGGGGGGGTTGGCCCTCCCTGAGATGGCGTTTTCGGTCAAGGAAATCTGAGCTTTTTGAAAACACTCTCCAAAGAGGATACAAGACACAGTTTTCACATCACAGTGTGGACAGCATAACCACAGGCTTTCGGAAACAATGACTCATTTTAGTCATGTGACCAAATAAACTAAGATATCGGAGGGCATTATACGGCAGTTGTTTTGTTTGCTCTCAATTTTGACAGCCCTATTAAAGATTAATATCAGTTTGTTCCTGCTCCAGATAGCTTTTCTTCAAATTCTTTAATTCTCACTCGCTTTTGCAACTTTTCACTTATATGTTATTCACAGCAACAACCCACCTCATTGTCAGTACATTTAAAAAAATGTATTGTACTGTACTGTAAAATTTAAAAAATCTTGGTGCTTTTCCTCAACATTTTGCCATGACGTTCAAAGAGCCTGAAACTAAATAAACAGCAGACAGAAGTGAGGCAGGTCGAATCGTCTTACGTTTCACGATTGCACACTACAGGAACGTAAGCATTTTTGGTAGTTTCAGTGTGGATGAACAACTTTTCTGAAACAATTGAAAACTATAGTGTGGATGCGGAGGGTTTTTAGACGAAAAGGCAGTTTTCAAATTTATCCGGATTAGTGTAGACGTAGCCTAAAAGGGTGGTGAAATCTTCATTCTGTCACCTCAGATGTCTGTCAAAGGTTAAACCTTTTCTTTCCAGGTGTGATTTGGAAACTATCATCAATGCTTTTATAACCTCTTGCTTGAATTACTGCAGCTCTTTTTTAATAGGGGCCACCCAGGGTACCTTGTCATGCCTGCACCCGGTGCAGCATGGTTTTAACTAGTAAATGAAAATTTGAGCATATTACTCCGTTGTTCTCAGTTCCTAAATCTGAAAGAAGAGTGAGCATTCTAAATTCTGGCCCTGAAACTTTGAAATGATCTTCCTCTTCACTTTAGGCAATCTACTTCAGTGGTGGTCTTTAAATCCAGGTTAAAAACATTTTTATTCTCTGGCTTTTCAATCAGTGGGTAACTAATACTGTTACTTTATTGTTATTTTGTATTGTATTTATTGTTCTTATTGTAATTTTTATATATCTGCTGTACAGCAGTTTGGTGCCATGTATTGTTTTTAAAGTGCTATATAAATAAATTATGGTATGTTATGGTATGGTGTTGTATGGCAGATGTAAACAAAAGTTCCTGTCTGTAAAGAAAGGGCATTTTGGAAGAAAAGCAGCTTTACCTCTCATATTTGAACTTTTTTCCTTCTTTTTGATGATGATTTGTCCATAAGTGACATCTTCTCTTCTGACTGCTGAGTGGTCTTTAGCACTCTCTACAGAATAAAACACATAAGGAAGACATCACTGTAGGTCATACAGTTGATAGCAGAGCTGATTGTAAAAACAGTTCTGTTGTTACAGAAATGTCTACACAAAAAGCATGTGGATCATTAATAACTGACAATAGCGTTTACATAGAAAACATGACTACTCATCACAATGATGCTTGCATTGGATCAACATATCAGAAACGCAGAAACTACAAAATAGTTATGTTTATACAATTTAAATTTGGAATTTAAGTAGAGACACTGAGATAAATAGAATTTAGTTCAACTGTGGTTTCACACCTGCAACTTTTTTTAAATCTGAGACAGGATGTTGGACGACTGCAGAGCTGCTAGCTTCTGTTAACCACAGACCACGAACACAGTCCAATGCACAACAAGCAACACTAAACACATGACAACAAATGGTATTTGATTAAGATAATAAAGTTTATGAATTCTGTACAAAAGCATAATAAGTAAAACAAAAAAAAAGTCTATTAAAAGTTGTATAAAATATGCTTCCTTTTTTTTTTTTTTTTTTTTTTTTTTCCCTTTACAAAGTATAAAGATGTGATTGAACTTGGTAGTGAGTGTCAATGGAACCCTCTATTAATAAACTCCATTAGCCAGTCTTGCCTAATGTGATGCTTCTAAGCAGGCCTATGAGTCAGTTGCATCCCTAAAAATTGTCTATGGCCAAAATAACGTCATCAATCCCTCGCCTGGAGCTTTGCGTGCTGTGACAGGGGCTGACCTGAGAGACTATTTGCAGATGTCCACTGAGCATTCTGGGTATTATGAGAAAGAAAGGCTATCCGCCGTTATTAATCTAACTGCACTGACTGCAGACAATGGAGAGCAAAGCCTGGTTTTCCACAGATGACTGACCTACCAGACTTCCTCTTTACAAGCCAACCTTGTACTACACTGAGACAGACAGTTTCTGAAGACGTCTGAAGACGTTCTCAGGAATCTGTTGATTGAACTAGAGGGCATCCTAAATTCAAAGCCATCACGCTATGTATCCTCCAGCATTTCTTATCTTGATCCAGAGACCCCCAGCCATTTGCTGATAGGGTAGCCAGGTGGATTACTGCCACAGGTTGTTAACCAGAGACTGATCTCAAACCTGAGAGCATTTCAAATATTCAAATGTACTATATACATTTGAGGGCAGCTGTTGGAAAGGCTTCAACTTTTTATTTTGTTGTGTTTGGAATTTCATAAGATTCCTTATATGTGCTTTCAGTGATGCACCACCTGCTGGACTGGAAAGCAAATTCATACGGCTCACTGGCAGATTGTGTGGGGTAGTTGGAGTGTGGCAACCAAGCAAAAAGTCCAGTCCATGTGGTGTTGTGCATTGTTTTACTACCAGTGAGTAGTTCCCAGTAGGGCCACGTATACACCTACATCTACCTGCTTACAAGCTTGTACCCATGTGTAAATTCCAGAATTCTGAGACTCACCTTCAGGTTTCCTGTGAACACATCGTCTTACCAACAGGAACAGTAACACCAGTAGAACCACAACACAGACTGATCCAACACATGAAAACACAGGTATGAGAGAGGAACCAGGCTTAGAGGTGGATGTAGGTGGAGGTGTGGATTTAGGTGGAGGTGTGGTGGTGAGTTTGTCTAAAATAAAGCAAACACAGTCATTAAGTTGTCGTCACATTGTGAATGTTGAAAGCTGCAGAAACACAGACAGGTGAGTGTGTCACCTGTGACAGTGATCCAGCTGGATGGAGACTCTCCATGACCGCTGATGTCACACTTGTAGAGGCCTTCATCAGACCTGGAAACATGCTGGATGGTCATGTTAACTGAAGACCCATTGCTGATGAGGGAGCCATCTTTATAGAAAGCAGCTGTGAGGTTGGAGGGAGTGGTCTTTGTTTTACAGAGCAGAGTGACGTCATCTCCCTCCATCACAGGGAGGACAGGACTCTGCAGGATCACTGATCCACCTCAACACAGAGACAAACTACAGCATTTCATCCATTTACACACAGCTTCATCAACACTAACTCCACACACTCAGCTTACCAGTGACTGTCAGGTTAACCATGTTACTGATGGGACCCTCTCTGGACTCACACCAGTAAACTCCACTGTCATGAGGGAAAACATTGTTGTCACAGGAAGAACCAGCTGGTTTTCCCCATTCATCTCCACACTGAGTCCTCTGTTGTTTGCTTGTGTTTCTCCTCAGAGTCCATCCAGCAGAGCTGTCGCCCTCCTCACAGCTCAGAGACACAAAGTCTCCTTTAAAGATCTGAGAGCTGCTGGGACTCACAGTCAGACGAGCTGTGAGGGTTAAAATGAAAGGATCTGTTAGACTTTTGTCAAGAGATATAATTCTGTGATAAATTCTTCATTTCATCAGTTTTATATGTGAGATCCATTGTCAAACATGAACCCAATCAGGTCATATCAGTGAGCATTTATCAGGTTTAAACTGTGACAGAAGAAGGTTACTGACCTTGGTTTGTTGTGCAGCTCAGCAGTGAGATCAGAACTAAAGAGAAATGACACTCAGGTTGATTTGAGGTGAACATAAAGAACAACTCCACACAAACAGCTGACAAACACACAAACTCATCTCTCTGATATATCTGCTCATTTTCAATTTGATGATACAAATCAACAGCTTCAGCTTCAACAGCATTCCGAGTGAGACTGGGGACATTGAGTCCGAATGGACCATGTTCAGCGTCTCTATTGCCGAAGCTGCTGCATTGAGCTGCGGCCGCAAGGTGGTTGGTGCCTGCCGTGGTGGTAATCCCCGAACCAAATGGTGGACACCAGAGGTGAAGGGAGCCACCAGGCTGAAGAAGGAGTCCTATCGGGCTTGGTTAGCCTGCTGGTGCTGCTGACGTCGACTGAGAAAATTGTCAGGCAGTGGAAGGAATACTTAAAGGGCCTCCTTAATCCCACTGACACGTCTTCCGAGGAGGAAGCAGAGTCTGGGGATGAGGGGAATGACCCGCCAATTTCCGGGGGCGAGGTCACTGAGGCAGTTAAACAACTCCTTGGTGGCAGAGCCCCTGGTGTTGATGAGGTCCGCCCCGAGTTCCTGAAGGCTCTGGACATTGTAGGGTTGTCCTGGTTGACACGCCTTTGCAATGTTGCGTGGAGATCAGGGGCAGTACCTGTGGA